AAGCTGTTTCTCAAAAACAGAATAGTTATCTAAAGAACAACATGGTTTTCTCCAACAAACATTTGTTCTGTGATTCATCTCATCTCTAAGAACCTGCCCAAGAATCCATATAACACTTTTATCTGCTATGGCATTCCCAGCACGCTTGTACCACTGAGTCACATTGCCTAAGCAATGAGCAGTTTGCACAGTGGCCTGGAATGGTTGCAAAGCCATTTTTGGCTCTGAGTCTCAACCAAAATTGGCTGCCTTCCAGGTTACTTAGCAAATGAGTAAGATAGCAAACCCAAGAGAAACAAATGTTGACTTCAAAATCAAGAGAGCCCTCCACCTCAAGGCATTATGACTCTTTCTTGAAGGAAGAAGCCAGATGAATAAATTTGTCCATAATCATGGAAGGATATCGACATGCCCTAGATCACGTGAAGATGCGCTGGCTGTAGAGCAGAGGAGAGGGGACACAGGCTGGGCCTCTGGAGGCTCCTCTCCATCTTTTGTAACCATGTTGTCCAGGTTACACCACAACCCTGCAAAAGAGAACTGCACTGCACCTTAGAAATCCAAATCCGGCCAAAGACAGCCTGTGAGGGTCCTGGGCCTCTGACTTCTAACAGAGAGTGATCTGAAAACTACAGTGCAACTTCTAGAAAGTGGAATATAATGTAAAAGGAAGATAATCATGCAGGTTAGAACCAGGGACCAACTAAAGAACCTGTACCAATTCCGTAGCAGATGGATCTCACTCTTTCTTGTCCACTTGGATGGGTGACTGAGATGTGTTTCTCTTTCCTGCCTTTTCAGCATGGGAATTTTAAATTACTGTCTCCCTCTCATCTATTTTATATTAGTTAGGTTGGAGATAAACTGTCTAGACCATATGGACCCTGTACCTGGTATAAGCTGCTACACATCATCCATGATTCTGAAATTCAACCTGAATGTAGTAACTGGACGAGAATTTGAAGTTGTATAACCTGAGGGAGAATGGGCACATTACATGTATACATGTAATGGAGAAGGGTATGTATTGATGCAGACTAGTCATGGGTGACATGTATAACAAAAGACTACACTGGCCTACTCAACCCCCATTCAAAGTCCATGTTCCCTCCCTTTATTTACTCCATTTATGTTAATGAGAATCAATTTCCAGCCTCCCTTATAGTGTCAGGTGACCTGGTAACACTATTCTATTCAACATAATGTAAAAGTCCTGTAGAGGGTTTTTCATTTTCATCTTTTTACTGAATGGAAAGCAAATTAAGTACCTGTAGGCATAACAGCACCTGCAACCATGAAAAAACTGCACTAAGGAGGGTGGAGCAAAAGTGTAAGTGGCCTGAGGTTAGGATGACACTGTGAAGCCACTGCACCAGGCTAAAGAAACCCAGGATCAGGGCCCTGAGGAACTTGCAGCAGAACCAAATTGTAACCCACTTACCAGCTGTGTAAACTTGAGCTATTTAATTGTTGTGACTCATTTTCCTCATATATGAAATTAAAATAACAACAATAAATCAGAGTTGGGCAAATTAAATCTGAAAATCTATGTGAAGGGTTTCAAAGAAAAACTTTCATATAATAAGCACTCAATAAATAACTATCATCAACAACAGTAGCAGCATTATTATATGAGGAAAGTTCAACCTCATTAGTACTAAAAAAATGAAAATGTAATACAGGAAGCTATGTCCATCTATCAAATAATTAAAAAATGTTATTGGAGATGGCGCCATGAAACAGGCACACTGAGATGTCACTAGTGGCACTATAAATGGGTGCAATTCTTTGGGAAATGAATTTAGCAAGTGGTCCAGAGGATTAGAAATATCTAAACCTAGTGATTCTACTTCTAGGTATTTAGCATAAAGAAGACTTAAAAATACTACAGAATTTTAGGGAAGAAGATGTCAACTGTAATGCTATCCGTAACAGTGAAATTTTGGAAGCAATAGAAATGTGCAACAATTAGAAATGCTTAACCATAATTATAGCATTTTTGTTGAAATGTATGAAATATGACAGACATTAAAATATGTTGGTTAAGTGAATAAAATAGTGTGGATATATATATATATATATATATCATTATATTAAGAGAAATACTGGCTACATACTGGTACATGTGGCATGAATAAAAACTCCATGCAAAAGTAAGAAGTTTACCAAAATGTTAATATTTCTGATGCCTAGATTATGAGACTATAATGGATATTTCCCCTTATTTCTAATTCTGTATTTCATAATTTTCCCATAATTAATACTGTATCAATTATTACACTTTTAGTTATAAGTAACAGTAAACCTAACTTATTTAAACACAGGAACTTTCCTATCTGACAGAACTGGGAAATTCAGGGCAGGGTGGGGTTTGGATGCAATAAGGCCAGTAACTCAACACCATAAATGCCCCAGTTCTTTTAATATCTGCACTCTGTGTTCTCAGTGTGGGCTTTATCCACAGTTGGTTCATTACATGGTTGCAACAAAGTAGTGGCCAGAAAAAGTCATGTGCTGACTGGCTAAAAAGGATCATTCTCTGGAGTAAATAAACTTGGTGCCCTGTTAGGAAGAAAGGGAGAAGTAAATTGATATTGGAGAGATAAGCAATAATGTCTTCTCTACTTTGCTATTTTAATTTTTCAAAGTACGTTTATTGCTTCCAAGATTTTAAATGTAATTCATTTCATTGTGAAAATTTGGAAAACAGTGGGCATCAAGAAAAACTCACATATGATCCCATTACATGAAACAACCATTGTTAACATTTTGGCACATTTGTTTTAAAAATCTAAACAATACTGATAACAATACAGATAAACTCACATTTGAATATATAGATAGATGTAGAATCTTAATTCATTTAATCTGTAAATGGGGTTTTAATTTCTCAATAATTTTCCATCATATAGAAGTAGCATAATTTATTCAACCAATTCTCTTTTATAGGTCATTTGTGTTAATTCCCTTTTCATTATTATATATAATGTGACAATTAACAACACTGGATGTAATCTTTCACCGTAGGATAGTTTCCACTGAGATTACTGGACCAAACTTAGAAAGATTCTTTTATCATATTGCCAAATGAACACATATTACATATTTTTAATGAGAAAAAATCTAATTAATAAAATACAAAATGGGAATCATATTTGCCCTAACTTCATAGGTTGATGTAAACATCAGATCATGTAATGTCTAAAAAACGTTTTGTGAAAATTAAGGCATTATATAAAAGTAAGATATTATTTTGATGCAAACAATAAAAGCCCACTAGAAACTGCTTTAGGACAATAATCTCTCTCAGAGATTAGTTTTATCATTTTTATTATACACACTGTCATCACTTTAAACAACTTTTAACATTTCACATCCTACCTGTTAATATAGTAGAAGCAACTTTTGTCTTAGTGATTAAAGTATTTAATACTCATAGGACTTTTAACAATTTATTCATTAATTTAAAAATTTACTAAGCATATAACTATGTGCTATGAATAAAACTATGAAACTAGAAATAGCCTAGTATAATTGAATGTGGAGGACAAAAACAATCAACTAAAATAAATGTGATAAATGATTCCACAGAGCAAAAAACATTTCACTGTGGGAACCAAGAAAAAGAAGTAATTAATGCTTCCCTTTCTTCTCCTATTTGTCTTCTGCTTCGGTTTCTATAGCTTGTTTACTTTGCCTGGACTTTAAAAATCTTGCCTGGTTCTGTCCTCACATGTCTTGTGTGGTCTCATTTCTGTCTGCCTTTGTAAGCTAAAAATCCTTGACTTGCTCTAATTACCCTCCTATTGTTCCTCTACTCTTAGATCACCTGTCTCTGGGATTGGAGTCTGATCTCTAGCGTGTGAAGGTGCTTATCACAGCCTCACAACCCTGCTTCTGCTTTCCTGGGCCAGCTGGCTATTGATGTGATGTTGTTCATGCCTCAGAAAAATGTATCATACTTAAAATTACTAAAAATTTTAAATATAGGGAAAAAGTGCCAAACATAGGAGTAAAAAGGAAAGAAAATGTATTTCAATTCATTATATTACACAATTAAGAAATCTGGAAACTTTAGGAGGTTGAACTGTGTTTAGAGATGGAGATGGAGATTTCTTAATGTGCTAATTACTTAGGGAAGAATTACAACTCAGCCAAACAGAGTAATGTTCAATATGTTACTTAATAGAGAAAAGAAGACACTTGAGGAACCTCTATATATCACGTAAAAATAATTACATCATAATGATGAAAGCCCAAAGGAATTTTTTTAAAACCACCACCAGGGCTAACAATGAAATACAGCCACATGTCATTTCTCTTCCCTTTGAATTTGTGTGAGAATTCTGAAGTTATATTTGTCCACAGGATGACAACATAAGACAATTTATTAACTAACTAGTCCATTTTAAAAAGTCTAATAGATCCTAGGTAAGAGTAAACTATTCTCCTGTCAATGCGTTGCACATTTGTGCCAAGACTCAACTTGTAGTGTGTTTGCTATATACAAATGTTTATGTCTTAAGAGAGGAAATATGAAAAGAAAAACAAGGAATGTCCAAGACTAAAGTTGACAGAAATATAAATAAAACAGGCCAGGCGTGGTGGCTCATGCCTGTAATCCCAGCACTCTGGGAGGCCGAGGCAGGTGGATCGTTTGAGCTCAGGAGTTCGAGACCAGCCTGAGCAAGAGCGATACCCTGTCTCTACCAAAAATAAAAAATATTAGACAGGCATGGTGATGCATGCCTATAGTCCCAGCTACTCAAGAGGCTGAGGCAGAAGGATTGCTTGAGCCCAGGAGTTTGAGGTTGCTGCGAGGTTGCTGCGAGCTAGGCTGATGCCATGGCACTCTAGCCGCGGCAACGGAGTAAGACTTTGTCTCAAAAAATAAATAAATAAAAAAATAAAAAAGCTTCTGCAAAGAAATATAAATAAAACAATAATTAGAAAAATTGAGAAGCTATTCAATTTAAAATTGACAAGCTACTCACTACTCAATTTGTAAATTCCTCATGTATTGTCTTGGCATTTAAATTTTTAAATTTTTGGTAATTTCTCATATTCAAATATAACATCTCAATGTGAGAGAGCATAAGTATTAGTGGTGTTTAAAGTAATATCTGTCATATAATAGTAGTGAAGGAAATGAAATAAAAGTTGTGATTATGTTTTATTCTTTTTGATTAATCATAAGTATTACAGGATGTTAACCCTCATAAAGCATTTGGAAATACAGTATTTGATTAAAATGATGACACCACTTTTTGTAAAATCTGGTATATTTAATTTTGGCATAATACATAATAGTGATTTATTATATACTAATATTTCAAAAATATACTTTTGTGTTTAATAAACCACTGAATAATTTAAGATATTAGCCTATAAGCATGCTTTTGCTCCATACACCATGCTGCTATTGCATTGAAGGCAGTGAATTCCATCACGGGGGTTATATGATCCAGGGCTGCAGATCACTGTGAAAAAAGAATAAGTTACTAAGTCACAATTTCCTATAGTGTCACATAAGTTAACTTTACATGGAGAATAAATTTTCAAAGAATATTTTTCTTTTTATGTTTTTTTTTAAAAATTGTCATAAAATACACATAAAATTTAACATCATAACCCCTTTTAAGTATATAGTACAGTAGTTTTATGTTATATAATTAATTCACACTGTTGTATAATTAATCTCCAGGAATTTTCCATTTTGCACAACTGCAACTTTATTCTCATTAAACAACTCCCCATTTCCTCTTTCCCCAAGATGCTGGAAACCATCATTCTACCTTCAGTTTCTATCAGTTTGACTACTCTACACCTCATATAAGTGGAATCATACAACAAAAGTTTGAACTTTTCACTCTGAGCCTGGCTCACACCAACACTATGACCTAAAATAATTTTACTAATCACACAATGTTGCATTTAGAAGGCTGACTTTAAGTTATATAGTAGAAGCTACAAGAGGCCAACACTTCAGGTGGAACCAAAGGTGCTTATCACATGGCCCATAATAACTATACCTTAGATGTGTAAAGACAGCTCAAAATCTAGGAAAGGATTGTATCTTCTTTCCTTTGATTTAATTTTTTAATTGAAAAATAATAATTGTACATATTCATAGAATACATAGTGATGCTTTGATACATATAATGCATAATGGTCCATTCAGGGTAATTAGCATAGCCATCATCTCAAACACTCATCATTTTTTTATGTTGGGAATCTTCCATGTCCTCCCCCTAGTTATTTGAAACTATATGTTATTGTTAACTACAGTCATCCTATAGTGGCATAGAACATTTTATTATTTCCAATAATCTTCTGATTTCAAGTCCTCTTTCTACTACTTACTAAATGTGCTATTTTGGAAAAAATTACTTAGCCTAACTTAATTAAGTTTGATTATCCTTAAGATAAAATATATCATGAATATATTACCACGCAATGTCAAATACCATCTCTGTCATTGATTAACTTTGGGATCCTAGGTAAAGCAGTAAACTCTTTTCATGCCACTTTTTCCATTTGTAAAAACAGGTACAATAATAACTAACTTCATAATATTAACTTAAGGATTAATACCAGATGACTTACATGAAAAGGCACCAAGTGCATCACAGGCATTCAATAAATAAATGCTCAACCCTATGCACTGGGACTGCTGCCTCTACCCACCTCTTCCACTGAGGGGTAAAGGCATGAATGTCAGGTGGTGTCATCAAGCCTTCTTGTTTTTTTTTTTTTTTTTTTAAGACAGAGTCTCGCTTTCTTGCCTAGGCTAGAGTGAGTGCCGTGGCGTCAGCCTAGCTCACAGCAACCTCAAACTCCTGGGCTCAAGCGATCCTCCTGCCTCAGGCTCCCGAGTAGCTGGGACTACAGGCATGAGCCACCATGCCCAGCTAATTTTTTTTTATATATATATCAGTTGGCCAAAATTTCTTTCTATTTTTATAGTAGAGACAGGGTCTCCCTCAGGCTGGTTTTGAACTCCTGACCTCGAGCAATCCGCCCGCGTCGGTCTCCCAGAGTGCTAGGATTACAAGCGTGAGCCACCGCGCCTGGCCTCATATTGATATATATATTAGTTGGCCAATTAATTTCTTTCTATTTTTATAGTAGAGACAGGGTCTCCCTCAGGCTGGTTTTGAACTCCTGACCTCGAGCAATCCGCCCGCGTCGGTCTCCCAGAGTGCTAGGATTACAAGCGTGAGCCACCGCGCCTGGCCTCATCAAACCTTCTAATTGGACTGGGGTATTTGATTATCCTGTTCCTCCTTTTTCTATTGCAAATGTGGTTGTATAAGGATCCCAGAATATGTTAACAGCACATCTAGGGCATGATTATTATGGGCCATCAAAGAAAATTATTTTTCTAGCACCATGATTCAATAATATATGTCAATGTTTACATCTGGTTCATACCATATTATTTAATTTCATATCATTTACTTTTAAAATGTGTTTTCCAAATTGGGAACTACTTTAACTGTTATTCAGAGTATATATTTTCCATTCTGTATTCCACAGAGTTCCTCAAATTTTAACAGATGTTTTATTTGTGAAATAATGTTTTAGTTGGAAACAAATATTACTTAAAGTCAAATATATTTATTTGCTTCAGTAATAACAAGAGTATGTAAACTGGTAATGTACACAGTAAACTTCCAATGATGTAATGTAATATGTTTCTCAAAGGTGTGTGATCATAGTTCACTTTTTTTCAAAATACACATTATATTTCTTGAAACACAAATATGGAAATCCTGAGCAAAGGTATTCAAAGTGTTAATTACATACTTAGTTTATATTGATTGCCACAAATAGAACTGATACTGGCATAAAATCATCTAAATCCAAGCTTAAATAAATATGGTCTTCTAATGATTGATTATTCTTAGAATTAACAAACCTTCATAATACAATATAGATAAGACCATAGAGTCTTTTTCTGTAGCACTCTTTCCTAGTATACATACTAAAATATTTTTTCTCTGTTAAGTGGAACTGAAGAAAAATGTTAAAATGTTATTTAAATGTAAAGTACAAAATTAACAGACTATTTAAATAAAGAAAGATGGAAGCATTGGTGACTCATCAGTACTGACATATGAAGAAGTGATAAGAAAGTATGGAAAAAATTCTTATGAATTTGGATAGGGAATAATTTCTTAAAAAGGGAAATGCATAAGAAGATATCTCTTTGATGTAAAAATTAAGAACTTAATCAAAAATCATAAATGTAACAATAGTCAAGGAGTAAATTGGGAAAACAGTTGCAGTTATATAACTAAAAATAAAATATTATTCTGATATATAAATAACATTAGCTTATACAAATCAATGAGAAAGGGATACAAAATTTAATTTAAAAATAGGCACAAAAGAGAAAATACAAATGCTCAACTAATGGCTTTTTTGTTGAGCTAACAAAAACATAGTATACCAAATTAGATTCAGGAAGTACAAATAGACATCAAAATGTTTAATTGACAGTGAGGTCAGCAATGATGGTGAACCAGAAACTCCAGGCCCTCATTCATCCATGGAACAATTAAATAATCAACAGAGATTGGCTAAAATAACTTGACAGGAGCTCTGAAAATCAGTCATAAATCTGCAGCAACCAAATGAATGCCAAATCTGAAAAAAGCCATGTTCAAATGGTAGGAAAATTTGTGGCACTATTCATCCTTGCCCCATCCCCTTCCCAATGCAGCTCTGAACAGAGCAGACTAAATTGGCAACCTTGTAACTTGTCTGAGAGCCTCTTGCCTGCAGGATTGGTTTGTCATAGGCAGAGTTCTTGAAAACTGCAGAAGGACTACAAATGGGAACGTGCCTGGGGCAAGAGATTACTGAGGAATACAATAGAACAAGTAAGGCCCACAAAAGAAGCAAGAGAGAGCCTCTTAGAGAAATTAATCTTTTAAAAGCCATATATACAGAGGAATCAAGAAAAAAACCACATGTGGCAACAAGCTTAAGAAAAGATGCTCAATATCACTAATCATAAGAGAAAAGCAAATCAAAGCTACAACAAGACATGCATCCATGCATACAACAAGACTAACATCCATTAGGACAGACACTATTAAGAAAACAGAAAATACGTGTTGGTGAGGATGTGGAGAAATTGGAAATCTTATCCATTGTTGGTGGGAGTGTAAAATGGTAAAGGTGTTATGAAAAAAATGTATGGAAGTTCTGCAAAAACCTAAAGACAGACTTACCATGTGACCCAGCAATCCCACTTCTGGATATATATCAAAAAATATTGAAAGCAGGATTTCTAAGAAATATTCACACACCCATGTTCATCACAGCATCATTGACAATGCCCAAGAGGTGGAAGCAACCCATATGTCCACTGACAGATGCGAGAATAAACAAAATGCAGAACATACAACATAAATTAAATATTCAGCCTTAAAAACGAAGTAATTCTTGTCATGTCTTACAACATGGATGAAGCTTGAAGACGTTGTAATAAGTGAAGTAAGCCAGACACCAAAAAGAAAAATACTGAATGATTCTACTTATAAGAGATATCTACAGTAGTCAAACTCATAGAAACAGCAAGTATAATTGTGGTTGGTGGGGGTGTGGGGAGGAAACAGGAAGTTCTTCAATGGGTGCAGTGTTTCCATTTTGCAAGATGAAAAATTTCTACAGCTCTGTTGCACAACAATGTGAATATAGTTAATACTACTGAACTGTATATTTAATGGTGGTCGAGATGTCAATTTTATGTATTTTTTACTACAATTCAAAAGAAAACAACAAATCAAAAATGTTCCAACAAATAAAAAGCTGGAACTAGGCATCTTGACTGGTGAATTCTACCAAACTTTTAAAGAATAATTGACTCAGGGCAATATGGCCAATGAGAAACACCTCCAGTCAAAGTGTCTCTGCAAGAAGGAAGATTTTAGATGAAAGTGAAAAAAACAAACAGGCAGACAAACATAGATCAGATGAGGGTCAGAAGGAAGGGTGCCTGAACCAACAGGAGACTCCACAGGAAGAGGTTGCAGAGTAGAACTTGAAGGAAAAAGGTATCAGCAGGGTCTAAGTACTGACAGGCTTGGAGACCAGTGATAGAGACCAGTGGAGACCAGGGGTAGGTGGAGTGGTTAAATTTCCCCTCCATTGCATCGCGGACTGAAAGTAGGCTCTCGAGCTGCTGGAGAGACCTGCCAACATCAGCCCAGAGACTGCTGCCACCAGTGAGTGGAGAACCTCTTGTACACAGGGCACCAGGATCCCAGCTCCCATGGGTGCTTATCAAAAAAATAATGCATCACGACCAAGTGGGCTTCATCCCAGAGATATGGAGATGGTTCAACATACTCAAATTTATAAATGTAATTCACCACATAAAAAGAAGTAAAAACAATGACCATATGATCCTCTCAATAGACCCAGAAAAGGCATTCTACAAAATTCAGCACCCTTTTATGATAAGAAC